ATAATTACAGGCAAGCCTCATTGTCAATAACTTCAGAAGCTTCTAAACAATTATGGAGTGAATCTTATAAGGAAAAACTATGGTCAGATAAATCTTTTAGACTCTATACATTATCTATAGGGCTAGATAACTGGAGAAGTCCATGATCCCAGAGGCACACAACTATCAAACTTCATCTAGTCTTCAGAGAGTTTGTATGTGAGAATTATGTTAGCTTATCTTCTGTGACAATAATAAGGTCATGAAACCCAGTGGCATTAAAAATAGATGTGTTCTGCTAGTTTTAACTTCTGTAAGAGGAAATATGATGCAAGATAGTTACAGTTTGCAGTTTTCAAAGTGAGGAGCTCTGAATATGTCAAACTGCATATAAAGTTTGGATACATAATCAACAGGTACAGCATTTAGCTATGAGAAGATGGAGATGTGAATCTTATATTTAGACAGATGATAATATATAAGGTGGTGGTTTGTAGAATATAATGTTTGCTGGAAAACAACTATTCAATGCCAATGATTTTCCTATCCAATTGAGGGTAGAAATGTCACCTGACTGAGCCATGGTCTCCTACAAAAGTCATCCAAGTACATTTTGCTTATTTTTTCCACAAATAATGAAAAGGTGGACATCAAAAATGTTAACAATAAGTAGGTAAAGTCTTCTGGCACAGTTGTGATTAGCTAGTTTAAAGTATAATGATGTATAACAGATTAGATTAATCTTCCTTTTGATAAAAGGTAGTAAATAGCTTCTATTGCCTTGATATATGAATATTTTCCATATAGTGTAGCTTAAAATTTGAGTATAACTTAATACTACAGAGGTTCCAACTCTATTAGCATAATGTTCAATTATATATTAAGAAGTCAAAGATTGTTAGGCAAAGAAGTCTTAAATTAAATTACATAGCTGATTTGATGAGATCCCAGGAGATGATAATTTTTTCACCTACTGTATATCCTACAGCATGTCATATAGTTACTAGCTTTACATTTCTAGCTAATTGAATAGTTACTATTTTATAGACTAACTTCTTGTTTTTTTCTTCTTTATCTGCCTTATCTCTCTATGTAGCATGATCACTTTTCCAAACTTTATAATAGCAGAATATAGTTTTTTCTCTCATTTTTATAAATTACTGCTGGAAGATGTAATAAGATAAGGATTTCATTATGGCTAATAGTCATTCAATAAACTCAAGCTTCAAGACATTCTAACTGTTTTGCATTCTTTGAGTATTTCTAATGATTTAGTACTATAGTAGTAAGCTCTTTTAAGTACTACTATATGATACTCAAAGGTTTGAAGACAATTGACTTTGGTTAGTATTGAGCTATATACTAAGAAGATACAATACTTGTCTACATTTTCCTTAGTTTTGTGAATAGCTCTAACTATCTTCTTCTTGAGCTTTCTCTGAAACTACCCTACTTGTGTTTTTATACTATATTTAAGTTTCTGGTTAGGAGAGGATCCTAGTATTATTATTTTTGGTTAGTTGGTAGTACACATGATGAAGAGTGCTACTAGGATAAATCTGAGATACATAAGAAAAATTATATGAGGACTAGTTGTTGCACTAATACCTTTAGACATCAATAGGGGCATCTTAATTAAATAATTAGATTGCTACCTATCACTATCTACTAATGTATTTATATAATATAATATATATATATGCTAATCTACATCTACATCATTATCTCTTGCCACAGGTTCTAATATACCTATTGGAAATAACCTAAACTTGTAAGGACATAGTGAAGAAGGTACTCTTTTTGTTGTTGTTATGATTAATTTTTGTGAATCTCCTAACACTTTGCCTCTCTGTCTTTCTTCTTAGATTTATATTAGTATCAAATGGCTGTGAGTCTATCAAGTTAGCTGTATAGATGTGCTTTCCCTTGATTAGCTTCCTAATATGATATGCTTTTAAGGTTTTACTCTGACTCTCTTTCTCCCTACCAATACAGTCAATTCTATAAAATAAAGAATTTACAATAAACATTATTTAATCATTCTTTTGCATCTATACTCTTATACTATTTGCAGGAAAATAATGCAGATTGGAAAATATATTACATGAACCTTGCTTTAGTGATACTGCTAATTCTCCTCTATTATCCTCATTATCCTATACAACTCTGAGATATTCCTATATTATAAACTACCACATATTTCTTTTATAGGTAATATTATGATTGGAAAATAATAGTAAGTATCTGTTTATCAGTATTTTTAACTCAGGACTTATATAAACTAGGGTTACACTAGTATTGCATGCTTTACAAGTCACTACAACAAGAATGTCATCAATGCTAGTGATTGACAAGTACTTTATAACTACCTGAAGTAAATTGAGGTAAGGTCTGATTTCCTTCAAAACTTTAGATATTAGCATCAGCTATATATATCTTGTAAAATAATAACTAAACATTTAATAAAGAATTGAGTATTAAAAAATCTAGATGTTTATATTCATTATAAATGCAGGTAAACTTAAAATGATAGCCTTGAGGCATGCATACACATTCATGTTGGTGTCTAACCCAAAGGATAGTCCTTTAGTTCTGATTCAGAGTTTTTTTTACATATACTCATTCTTGCAACTACTTTGTCTCTTTAAGCCTTTGCATTTATACTTATGAGGGCCAGCATATTGACATCATTAATTTGCTATACCTTCTCTAAGCATATGTCACTATTGAGATTGAATTCTTATAAGAAAAATATTCCTGCTATCTTGAAAATATTTCTATATTCAAGAAGAGCAAGAGATTCATAGATATAAAAGTCATAAATAATAGCCTATGAGTCAATGTAGTTAAATATGTTAAGGTGTCAAGAGCTCAGGCACAAGGGGTTAGGCTACAGAGAAAGTCACAATGTTGTGTATTCTATCCATCAGCATAGGTAGTGAGGCCACAGGAAAAGTCGCAATGTCATGAAGCTTATTTATCAGAGTCAGGCATAAGGATATAGGGGGCACCACTATCTGTGGTCTCTTATTCTCTCTAGCTCTAGATGGTGATGATACAGATAAGACCATATGCTTCCTCAACCTAGAGGAATAATCATTAAGGAAAGCTGAGCATTTCTGATGATATGAGAATGAAGGTACAAAGATGACAGTGTTGTTTATCTAACCTAATGACAACTCTGAGGGGATAGTGTACCAAGGCTTATAAGCTGAAATAACTGCACCAACAAGTGTGTCAGAATTTGCTTGGGTTGCCAGAAGCTTAGTATACATATCTGAAGATAAGTGTCAGCCTTCAGGCCCTGAAATGCCTCAATTGTTGTCTAGAGGCCAGGTAGTAGTGATCCAACTGCTGTCCAGAAACAGTGAAGTATTTGGATAGTTAGAAATGTATTATCAGTACAGCCTTGAGCTGTCCCAATAGTCTGGAGTGGTTGACTAGTCATGGTCTTGAAGGATTCCATTGCTGAACATTATACCACATTGATAGCTACCCAAACATACTTTTAACTATCAGTTTGCCTACTAATCACTCTTCACTGCAAAATTATTTGGTTACCAATCACTAAAAAAACATTATCCTCTACATGCATTCAGACATCATGATAACTTAGGAAGAATGAATCAATAAACTCAGCAAGGTTATTAATAAGAAGGCTAGGCTTGGTGTGGAGGAAGAGTGAAGAAACAAATTTGCAATAAGTGATTGAAAGCCCAGGAACATTGTTGTTTCAAGAGTCTGTCTACATGTAAAATATAAACTAAGGAGAGAGGAAATGTCCATATATATCTTTTCTGGTGATTGCTAGTGGACAATAGTACAATTTACAAATCATATTACATCACATAACTTACAACTGACCTTAAGACTTAATGTACTCAAAGTGACAGCGGCAGAGACTTGTATAGTTTCAAACCCAAAAAACAATGGTCGGGTCATGGACGGTTACGATATGACCGTTTGTGACTGATGCCATCATCAAGCTGTTGATTGACTGATACCAACATGAGCTGTCAGCTCAACAAGAGGACACCTATCACCCCCCCTGGGTTTCCAAGCCCAAACCTCTGTCGACTCCTTGCCCTAACAATCCCTGCACCCGAAAAATGCAAGGGCTTCGGGTAGGCAGGGGACAAACAAGAACAAAGGCGCTTAAGTGCTAAGGCCAACGATCGCACCCAACTCCATAGCCGCAAGCAACAGACGTTGCAGGCATCACGGAAATGCGAATGTGAGGGACAGAAACCATACGTCACTCACTGAGGGCATGTCCAGGACCAGCCATTAGCATGAGGAAATTTGGAAAGGAGGGTTTTCAGTGTGAAGGCTACAGGACCAGGCTGAGGTTGGCAAGTGGGAGGGAAAAGAGTGAGTGAGTGCCAAGGAGCAGCTGAAGAAGGAGAGAAGGAATATATGCATGATAGGTATGTCCATGCCGTCAGTCGCTCCCTTGTCTTCTGACTTTCTGATCCGTAATTCTCTTCGAGCACAGATCCTCCCCCTCCCCCAGCTTTGTACATCATGATTTCCACATCATGGACTTTGCACCATCTGGGTGCCACCTGGCCGTTTGCGTGGTTACCCTGATGCATCAAAGGTGAAGGATGCTTTAATATTGGCTACCACCAAACTTCACTCACCGAAACTCTCAACACCTGCTGTTTATAACTGCCGTGAGTGCTGTCAACAGATCTCCAGTGATCTGAAGAAACTGACCGATGTCACACCCAGCTGCAAACATCTTTTTCACCTGAGAAATGTATGTGGACGAGTATGCTTGCCTGCAAAATTGAGGGAGGATGGCTGGAGTGCAGCCTATCAGGTTGAAAAAAAGACAGTCTTTGCGTTCGCTAGGACAGTCCCTTGGATCCAAAAATTGGACTATATTTTTGGTTTCTTTCCTGCTATCATACCATACCTCCTTCCTGTTGCACAAGTCGCTTGATTACAAATCCAATTCTCTCTTTGGCGCAGTCTGAGAGGGGCCTCCCAGCTTTCACTCTTTCCGTTCGTTGACCATGGCTGCCACAGCCGACTTAGTGTGGCACTTTCCTGGCCTGCATGATATGCTCCCATCTGCATCAGCTAGTGGTATTGAGATGGATGATATCACCGAGGACATTGTGGCTGAACAGGAAACCCTTGTTGAGCTGAGCAATAGGGTATCTGATGATGTCTGCACCATGGACCCCCCCTCCCATCAATGTCTGCGAAGTCAATAGACGCACCTGACTTCACAAGACTACAGTCAATGCTAATGGATGTCTCAAAGGGTGTCACCCAAGGTACCAGTGCACAATACAAACAGTTTGTCGTGTCTACCCACTGGCTTGAGCATGCTGACTACTTGCAGGCTGATGAACACATGTGTTGCATTTCTTACTAGCCTTGGTCTGCTGGGGAGCAACAAGGAGTTTTTCTGCAAAAAGCCACGTGCCAATGCACCATGGCTGATCATTGCATGGATCATGAATATGTAAATTTGTCTCGTGAGAATGGGGCTTGCCATGCTGATTGATCAAAGGTCTGACTTCCTCAATATCGATGGCACCACAAAGCCATCGACCCAGGACTGTGGAACATACAGTCATGTGCAGAAGATGTGTGCGTCAATGACATACACTTTCGGGAGGCTCAATGGCCTGGGCAACATGCCCTAGCATGAGTCAGATGTCGGAGGTGGGCTTATGATTGGCAACCCATCAATATCTATCGAGGTGTCATCATATATGTGCTCCCTCCATAGATGTAAGATAAGCTTTCTTTGCCCATCCAACACCTCTCTTGATCAATGACCATCCAACCCTAGGTTCAAGCTGGTGAAGTTGCAAATAGTGCTTATGCCATAATGTCGGTAAGCTGCTTCTGGCCCTTGAATGACTCACTCATTACTCAGCTCTTGCAGGATATTTTGCTCAAGTTATACCACCACAACCACCTTGCTCACAATTGGACCATCTGAAAATATCAACCTGGTGAGCGGGGGCAATCTGGTTTGAACTCATGGGGTGGCAGGTGTGTCCAGAGGCTCCTGCAGACAGCCTACACAGTATGATTTCTATGCATGCTTCATTTTGACAAAGTGCTAAAGATTCAGGTCCACAATCTCCAAGCAGAGGACCGGATGGTCCTGCACCTCCCCTTCCACAAGACCCACCAAAATGGAGGTTCATGATGCCTCAAACTTGAAGCATTTGTGCTGTAGTACACATTCTGACTGTCCTGTAGAGATCAAGCCATTTCATCTGTGGTCCCTTCCATCGTGTGAAGCCCATATCTGCCCTGTTAGAGCGCTTGCTGCCTGGTTGAGCGAGTCCAAGATCACATCAGGTTACTTGTTCCAAAAGATTGTGTCCGGTGACTGCATAGCAGAAGCAAACTCTCCAATAGTATATTCCTGATGTATCCAGCTGCACAAATTCCTGATGCACACAATGCCAGTCCTCTGAACAGTTCCTCAAATTATTTCACAACAATCTCCTGGACATTAATGTTGACCCTACCCCTTATGGTACGCACTCATTCCAGAGGGTGGCTGTTAGTATCTCCACATCGAAAAATGCTGGCTGCTAAGGAGGATATGTGAGTGGGAAGGTTGGAGTGTAGAATTCTTCAACCTAACCATAGTGAAGTATCTCATTTCTTCGAATGATGACCCCATAGAGCCAAGGGAACATTTTTTTGATCCTAACAGGCCACCTATGGTTAAGTGCCCACAGTGCAGGAGGTGCTGGGCTTGTGCTTAAAGTTCAACCCCATCTACTAGTAGGTGTAATGTAGAATGTATGATCACCTGTGTTCCCACCTGCACTATGGATAATAATAGCTCATGCACTACCCAAACCCAACCCACAACAAGACATTCTAACCCCTGCTACCCACGTGCCACCCAAACCTCAGTCAACTCAACCCATGATAAGACATTCTGATCCCTGTGCCACCCAAACCTCAGTCCACTCAACCCACAATAAGACATTTTGACCCCTACACCACCCAAACCTTAGCCTACCTACGAATAAGCATATGAGGAAGCCGAGGATGTGGAGACATAGTCTCCTGGTGATTTAGGTGTAGGCCTACTATATTGACAAAACACCTTGTATACTTGGCTACAGATTGTGCCAGAATGCCCACTTAATCCTCCTTATCTTTGATGTCTGCATCCTCTGCTTTCGTGCTCTCATCTCTTTCTTTGACATGCTCGTCCTCATTTCACTTTAAGATCTCCTCTACTGCCCACTCCTCTGCATCACCTCACATCATCTCAATGACATCCCTCACCTCTGCATAATCTTTAAGTTGCTTGTAAACGTTCTGAATGATGCTCTCATTGAAACTGTGCTGCTCTGCAAGGAACAATGCCCTACAGTACTATAGTCCTAAGGAAAAGTTAGTTGCACAGCCCTAGTATTTACTGTCCTTTGCGGCACCCATGAACATGTCCACCAGCCAATTGATTGAATCACTTAGCAACCGCCGATGGTTTTACCATCACATGCTCTTCTCCGCCCTTCCAATATGTGAAAAGATCATTGAACTTGTCACCATATTCCTTGCAAGCATGCTCAACAGCTGCAGCAAGGGCCATCTTGCGCTTGGCACATAGTTTCTGGACGATCACAGTATAAGTCATGCATTTACCATCAGCACTGAACTCCTCCCAGAATTGCGCTTTGGTGCCTTCCCGATAGCATTCAACAACATACTAGGCAACAGAAAGGAGGGCACAGAGCACATCAGCAAGCTGTAGTCAAAGGCCCGAGGTTCAAGAACAGCACTTACCCACCAGTCTGTCCACTTACTCTTTGTGTCCTTCCACTGATGATCACGGCTATAGCAGTATAGCAAGGGCCAGTACTCAAGTGCAATTGGGTGGCCTTGAATATTCATGACAGACTCCCCCCGCCAGTGGACCATGTGGTCATCCCACATGCTGTTGAGCTGTGAGATGTTGTTTACGAAGCTGATGGCAGGGGGGTTTGGAATATCAGCATCAGCCAGTTTCAGAACAGTGCCATCCCCAAGCATGACAATGTGCAGCTTGTCACTGGCTGGCTCTGGCATAGGTGGTAGTGGTGGTAGTGGTGATGGTGGTGGTGGTGGCATGGCACTGACAGCATCCTGTTGAAACATCAGTCAGCTCACAAGACTTGATGGGGACCTCAGAAACAGCTACCACTGGGTTTTCGTCAACACCAGCATGGATGCTGGTAGATCTAGCACCTGGCTGTAGGAGGGCATCTTGGACAATTCCGACAAGTCTCATACCTACGCTCTGAATAATGGTATCTTTGAAGAGGGCATCAGCAGAATGCTGCAAAAAACTAGTGCTGTCACCAGTGGCGCTGAGACAAGCAGACAGGGTGCTTGCTACTTTGAGTGTGCCATCTGTCAGTGCATAGGGATACTTGCTATTGATGGCATCAGCCTGCTCAACAAACACATCAAATATGAAAGGGGGCCAGGAGCAGGAGGTGGGGCTCGCCTAAGGCAGTAGCACTGCAATTTTGTCTTGCATGCGCATGTCTTTAGAGCAGCTGGTGGTGGCAGTGAGAGCAGAGGTAGAGGGCCGCTTCAGTACCAAGCAGCAACTGGGTGTGACGTTGGGTTGATTGCTTCATGTGGTCCGCCTTGGCCTTAGTTGTCAAACATCCCACTTATGGGCCCTTATGAGCTTTGTGAGCCCCTAGCTGGAGCCTTCAAAGGATGATAACAGGTGAGCCAGAACTGTGTTCTTGAAGTGGGCCCAATTCACATACCTATCCCATGAATCTTGGTCTCAACTGAAGGCTTCCAGCCGCTCACAAAGCACAGACTTGGTGCTAGTGGAGGTGAGTCCAAGCTGGTGGCACTGCTTCTTCAGTGCTTTAACATTCATATTGGAGCTTACTGTGGTGGCATTCGTCCAAGTCAGCCCATAGGAAGATGGCGATTAGAGAAAGATGGACGACTCACATGGAGATGTATTGGACCTCGGGCTCACTGTCTGGTTGAAATCAGAGTGGGAAGGGCAGGGTGTGGTCCACATCAGGCAAGTCCTGAGCTTCTTGGCCTGCACTGGGTGCTTCAGCAGACTGGACATGCTCAACTTTACCAGCATTGGCACTTCAGAATGAGTCAGCAACAGAGCCCACCATGGCAGCAGTGGTATGATTGAGGGACATCATCATGACAATGTTGGCGCAGTTGTTTGACTTGCTCCAGTGCCAAGGGGGCAGAAGACAGCAGCCACAGAAAGAATTGATGGGGATGCTTGGCCTCCACCAGTGGTAGGTGGCCAGGAGGATGAGGAAGACTAATGCAGCAATGAGGATGAGGACTCCGCCCATGTGCAGGCCTCCTTGGTTGGTGACAGCAGCAGAGGGGTTCGCAGATGAGTTCGACTCGAGTCCGCATGTGATCTCACTGTGGACGACAGCGAGAGAAATTGAGATCTGGGGAAAAGCAGGCGGGTCAGCAATTGTCTGTTTGCAGCGAAGAACATATGGTACGGCCAGAAACAGCCAAGGGATCAATGACAGATGACGGGCTGAGACACAACATTGATTCCTGCTGGGTGCAGTTCTGGGGGTCTGTGCCACCGCGATTGAAGCAAGAAATATGTTCATTGCTCATGTCAGCAATCCGAAATGGTGTTTTCCGAATGTCACACCCACCAGCAGATAGTGTTGTTTTCAAGAGAAGTTGTAATATTGTGGAAGATTTCACTTTTGTTGGCTTATAACTAGTTACATGGGTAAGCTGATGTAGAACTAGTAACATACAATAGGTATAGTACTATACAAACAATTGACTCATGAAATATTACTTAGATCACAGTTATCAATGTGTTCCAGATCCATAACAAAAGTCACTCCTTTGGTATCAACTTCTGTTGCCTCACAAATTGCAAGCTAAATTTCATTGAAAGGCTTGATATGATTGAGAGCAGCTTGCAATTGTCAAAAACAAAAGTTGTGGCTTTGGAAATATGGGACAATGGTAGGGCAAAGACCATTGTATGGAGGGAAGATTCAATAAGATTCTGCGGGTTTATATATTTAGTTAGAGAGTACATTGAGATGCATCTGTAAATTTAAGATACAGTAATATTAATAGTTGTGCACGTTTTTATCTTCATCATCAGAAGTGCAAGTACATTTCTTCCCCTTTGCCTTGCTTCGTACTATAGCTCAATCATATTTCATTCTCATCTTTGTGACTTGCCTACAAAATAGGGATGCAGCCTCCCTTGACATTCCAACATCACTAAGGTAAAAATAAGAATTGAAATTGACTATAACTGTTAGATACATGATGTCTTGACCACACAAATCATTTGAATGCTGATTGAAGTTCATTACTGGAAAATGATGGTCGATAACATCAATCACCTCATAAATGGTTAGCTCTGGCTTATCTTTAAACTTGTCATCTGTCTCTAAGCACCTTGCATGCAAGTGTTTTACACTGGACTGCATCAGATAATTTTAACTAGCTGCCTCACTCCTACCAGTGAAATGTATATGATTGTAAATGATTGAACTTGGTGGAGTGATTCAATCAGGTTGATTGAAATATCAGAAAGGCTGCTTCTGCCATCTGTTTCTGCTCTAACCTTTTTCAAAATAGATTTCTAGAAAGAAATATCACATTAGAATGACTTTATCTCAAAGCTTCTGAAAATAATACACAAGGTTCAATATCTTGATGTTCACAACCTTTTTCTTTCTACCCAAGTACTGCTTTGCTCTTACTGACTTGAATGTATTTTCAAGGTCAAAAGAAGTCTTCAAACAAGCTATCATCATACTTAATTAAATGGGCTGCATTCCTTGGATGTAGATGTGGAGTGCTGTTATACTTCTGGTATGTTTGAGACAGCTGTTTAAAAACAATCAAAGACCGAGGGACTGAGTTGAATATGAATGATATAATATGTGATTGACATAGTATTCCTCAAAGATTCAGCATACTTTAAACCTCAGGACTTAAGGCAATCCCAGCAAGCAGTATGGTAAGGGGTGTAAAAAGTCGATGTTTGTAAATATATCAGATATGAGATGATGCATATATGTAAGATGTAAATATCTAAGGGACCCAGGAATGCCTGGTATTCTGAAGGGTCTCAGCAAAAGGGAAGTGTGCTGAAGAAAAGAGGAGTGCTTCAAATGGATTTGGTCCTATCTATATGATAGAAAGTTAGAAGGGACTATTCCACAATATACTAGTGCTAACACTCCTGTGATGGTCATGGAGTGTAGATTGAGTCAGTACTTGAAGATTCAGAATGCCTAGAGTTTAGATGGCTGTTCAAAAATGATAAAGAAACTCCATACAGAAAGCCAGGCCTCTCACATAAGGTTGAAAGACTGAGTCTATTGTGTATGTAATTATGTAGATGATATGAGAAGCTACTTGGATCTAGGAATGTTGTTGTTCCAAGAATCCAAGTCAGTTATGAAGGAGTTGATTAAGAACCCTTATTGGTTGGAACCCCAGCTCAATATTGATGTTCTGTGTCTGAGGAGGTTCAAGGAGCAAAATTTAAAGAGAGAAGCTTTGACAATCTAGGAATATCATTGTTCCAAGAATCCAGCAGGATCATAGATCTAATCAAGAAGTTGAAAGAAGTTATTTTTTCAGTTATCACTACTGCATTATGTAAATGGCACCTCACTATGCATTACAGCCACTAAGTGTGAACTAAGAGAGATATAAAGATTGAATTAGTACTGTCCAATTTGACATTTGGCTGATCCTCCTAGTTGTGATTAATCACTGAGATCTCAGCCTCAAGTTGACCTTGAGTCATGGTGTGTAATGGTTAGCTTTCCTGAACATTTCTACAGAGAATATGGGTAAGAATAGGTGATGTTATATATAGTCTTAGCTCTTTGCTTACTGATTTGCTTAGACTTTTCTCTAGCATATAAACTCTTATAGAAACTTCTATCCTTTGTATATAGTCCTAACAGGTGAAAACTTCACACAGTAAATTAATTAATTGCTACTGATCAGAATCCAACTCTCCCCCTTCTCTATACACCATAGTGTACTTCTAGCCAAACTGCCTTTCTGTATTCATGATAGTTTTCAGATACCACTGTGCAAGGGTATTGAGAGTGTCATCAAATCAATGCTTGTCAATTTCTAGTAGCATCCCCTGTTCCTAGTATAAACTACAACTAAGATTTTGTTTTAGAGCAAGACTATTGGAGTTCCAGATGTGCTTTGAAATTCCAAGATGCTAGTGGTTGTGCAAAGGTATTCTGGATCTTTGAAATCACCTTCTCACAGACTAGTAAAGATATAATAGTGAAAATCCAATGTTACATGGAAAATTGCAAGCATCTTGTCTTTATTACTGCCATTGATGCCCATAAGTTATGTCCTTATTAAAAACCCAAGGACATATTAGTACTAGCAGCATGAGTCTAATGGCAGAGAGAGGTCCTTGAGTTTATAGAATGACATAATGATGAGAATATTCCAGCCTATAGGCCAGTCATATCTAATGTCTCATATCAGTAGGTGTTGTTGTTGCAAATTACAATTAGGATATGAGTATGAACCCCAACCAAAGGATTCTGCAACAATGAAGAGTATTATAGAAGTGTCATATATCATGCTAGTACTACTATCAGTTGTATGTTTGAAGTGGACTAATACTGACACCTCAGCAAATCTATCCATTGTCAAGCAATATGGACTGCCTAAATCATCTCAAGTTAGTGCAAGCTTGAGGCATAAGTTTGATTCAGAATGAAATTTGTGCTCACATCAAGGAGCATTGTGAGCCAGAGGAGATGAAATTTGGTATAATCCACCTCAGAGTTGTAAGAGTCTATTTCATCAACTTTATAGTGCCCTGTAGAATTAGATGCCTCTAAGTTTAATATTTGAATGAAATGATGTTATGAGTCATATGCCCTGTGCGGCATAGCTAAATAGGTATAAATATTATAGTCAATGACATAGTGACTTGCTAGGTTGAAGATTATACAGAAAGAAATGCAGAACTCCTTGATGTACTTAGATGATGAAGTTCATTTACCTAGTTATCTTCATTGTACATTTGTCCT